AAATTATAATGCAATTAAAATATTTATAACATTTACACTATTTACAAGCATCAAAAAATTCCTTCGCATCATCGCCTAATGATAGCGTTAATTGGTGTTTGCATGTAATTGTATTTTAGCCTGTAAAATCGCATTTCTTTGTACACGGCAGCTGTACGGAAAAATCCATCTAAAACGATTATAAATATCAGTACATTAATGAATGAAAATATAAAAAAAAAACTTTTATAACAGTTTTATATTGCGTACGTATCCTTTTTTTTTTTTTTTTTTTTTTTTTTTTTTTTTTTTTTTCCGTGCGGAAATCCCCTCGGATACCACCTGTCGGTGGCATGTCGGACTCGAACCGACTAAAACCGCACGCCTTCGCCGGGTACTAATAGCCGGGGAACCAGGTATACCCTAGAAAGGAAGGCCCTGGTGCCCCGACATACCTCGGGTCATCTACAGACGAGTAGACGACCCCCGCCCCGTGTGGGAACCCCATGTTCCCTGTGCTCCCTGGAAGCGAGCGCACTTCGCAACGCGCTCGCCGCCACCCCGGCCTGCTTCTGCTAGGGTGACAGATGGCCTCACCTGTCACCCCCAGGCCTGCGCTTATGGAGGACGAAAGTCGTTCTGCGACCTCCGGCGCCTGAGTCGCCTGCGCTGCCTGGCCCGTGCCCGGGCCTGGCGGGCCGGGAGAGTTCTAAACCTCTCCCGGTCCCGCTCCGCCGTCTCCTTCGCGAGCATAACTTGCTCGCAGAAGGAGACGGCAGAGTTCCACGCACTCTCGCTCCGCACGATAGCCGCAATCAGGCTATCGAGCGAGAGAACTCCCACTCCGATGGCCGCCACGAGGTCTCGCCTCTGCTCAACCCACGCCGGGCACTCTGCCAGCGTGTGGAGAGCCGTGTCCACGGTCTGGCCATCGCAGTGGTGGCACTCAGGCGTTGGCTCCTTGCGGATCAGACACAGGTGATCTCCGAAACATCCCTTCCCAGTGATCACCTGCGTCAATCGGTATGAGAGGGTCCCGTGACGCCTCTCGAGCCAATCCTCCATAACGGGTCTTACCGCCGCAATGACGGCGTGCCCGGCGCTCGGTTGCCCGAGTCGTTCCCTCCACTCCCCTATGATGACCTGGCGGAGTTGGGATTTCCGGTCATACATTTCTCGAATCTCGGGGGATCGACCCAACTCCTGCGCCTCCTTGCGCCACTGATACAGAGCCGCAAGGGCTCTCGCCTCCAGGTCCCATGGTGGAGTTCCGGCCAGGAGACTCGCCGCCTCAAAGGAGATCGTGCGGTACCCCCTTATGATCCTGATGACCAGCATTCGCTGCGGTCGTCGCAGTATCGCGACGTTGCTGGCCTTCAGGGCCCCCGCCCATACTGGGCACCCGTAAAGGGCCATGGACCGCACAACCCCCGAGTAGAGTCTCCTGCAGGAGTCATCGGGTCCCTTCATGTTGGGCAGCAGCCGCGCCAACGCACGCGCTGCCCCAACCAACTTGGGGACCAGACCTCGGAAATGATATCCGAAGTCCCATCGGCCATCGAGTACGAGCCCCAGATACCTGATCGAGGGCTCGATGCCGATGCGAGTGCCTCCTACCGTGAGGCTAGATCCCTCAGGCGGCTTCCTCCGAAGCCCGTGGAAGAACAGGGCCTCGGACTTGTGCAGAGCCACCTCGAGACCCAGCCGCCGGATACGCTCAACGACTTGGGCAACCCCGGCCGTGGCCCTCAGGGTTGCCTCGTGGTGCGTCTTGCCGCGCGCCGTCACGAGTGTGTCGTCCGCGTAGCACACGACGGCGACACCATCCAAGAAGGCACCACGAAGCACCCAGTCGTAGCCGATGTTCCACAAGAGTGGCCCTAACACCGACCCCTGCGGAACACCGCACGACATTTCACGCCTACCGAGACCGGTCCTACTGGGGTAGACGACGGCTCTCTCCGACAAATATGCCCCGACTATGCGGCGGAGGTAGAGAGGCACTTCGTGATACACGAGCGCCTCCCTGATGCAGCTCCAGGGCATAGTGTTGAACGCGTTGGCGATGTCCAAGGACACCGCCAACACCACTTCGCCCCGGGAGACTGCTTCCTCCGCCAGAGCCTTCACGCGCATGATCGCATCCACGGTGGAGCGCCCCTGACGGAAACCGTACTGGTTGTCCGCCAGATCCGGCCCAACCATCACGAGATGCTTGACGAGGCGCCTTGCAATCACTCTTTCAAAGAGCTTGCACACCTCGTCAAGCAACACTATGGGCCGGTGCGTACGTATCCTAAGTTTTCTATGAATTTTAATGTATTGCCTTTGCTGACTGTGTCTACATGTACCACAATAGGTCGACTTAATTTTACAACTCGCATAAAATAGCTTGAGGTTGTTGATTTTAATCAACATTTTCAACAGGAACCATGTAAATGTAAATAGGTTTTATATGATTTAAACTTTCAGTTGTAAATATTAAATTTATATCCTTAAAAAGATGTAAGACAAATCTGTAAAATAAGATTGGAAATTATGAACTTTAAAAAAAATAGTTGTTTTGCCAAATAGTTGTGTTATTTTGAAAATTTTGTCCCTTGAGCCTTTTTCCCGAACCTGGTTGGGGTGGCTTTAGGTCTATTAGATTGTGTTTTGAAAATTATTAATTACTAAAAACATGCGCACATCATGAATAAATGTGATAAACTGTAAGTGTATTCTTCATTCCTTATTTGCCACACTTAGGGGTAATATTTTTTTCTTTTAACTTAAATGGGACCAAACGGAAGTATACCTTGCCAAATAAAAAAGGATTTTGAAAATCGATTAAAAAAACACACCTGCCTTAATAACTTATAAACCTTTTCTTTTTTTTAAATACGGTTAGTTAATTTAAATTAGGAACAGATCTTAACAGGCATGTCGGTTTATTCCCGTAAACAAGATGATGACAACAGAAAAACCAGTAAAGAAAAGGTAGAGCGAGGGATCTTTGGTAACAGATTTCGCCAGTCTTAGATAGGAAACAGGTTGGGAGAGACCGGTGTCCGCTCTGCGATTAGAGTAACCACTAAGACAGGTACATCAACTGGCTATTATATTCCACAGCTGACAGCTCTACATAAAAAAAAAACAGTGGTACCCCGGGAGTGCCGACAGAAGTGAAAACTACTTTTTTTATTATAACTTTTTTTTTTGTTTTTTTACGATTTGAAAACTTCCGACATGAATATATATCTATGTTGTACCGATATACACAATATATGTTTATATTATACATATATAGTTAAATTATCAATCTATTTCAACCCAAACTCAACTCTCGTGTAAACAAACGGGGCCAATATATATAGATACTTATATACAGAGGTGTCGGTAACGGTAACAGTGTCGCAAGCTCAATAGTTTTTCCCATCTTAAAAAATATATTTTTATGTTTATTGTTCAAAATCCACGCGCTGAAAGAAGTTTTCACCTGCAACTCATGAGACACAAATGATTTACAGACCTTTGAGTCCCCTTCCCCCCGAATCGGGGTGGGGGAAGGTGGTTTGGGCGCCGGTAACTTCACTGACTCGGTGAAAAGAAAGGACAGAATAGCTTAGCACCAACCAGTGTTGTCTGTGAGGCCATGGTGTCACGACTTGTGATATCTCTCCGCTTGAGTCGGCCTATTAGTGGATGGAATTAGTAATAAATAATTTACTAGCTGGTACCCGCGAATTCGTTCGCGTGGAATTTGAAAAAATGCTGCCTTAGTTTACCCTTTAAAGTTTTGCACAGTCCGGCAATGGAACCCCCATTGCCGGACTGGGCAAAACTTTAAAGGGTTTTTCTGTGAGGAAAAATAGCCTAAGTTACTCCTTATATAGACAGCTACCTGGTAGTAAAATATTATTTATTTTTTATTTATTTATTTGACCCAAACAATGACTGTTGTAAGCTTTTATAACTTTCATATGAGTTTTTATGTAGTTCGCTTAAACAATGCCCAATTCTGATATTCCAATTCCGATGGACAACATCCAACGGTGAAGTAATAACCAACAACGTTTTGTGGGAAAAATATCGAAGCTATTGTAGCCTTAAGCTATCATTTTTCATACTGTACGAATGGCGAAATGGTTAATTTTGGTCACATTGCATTTAAGCCAAAATTTACATAGTACATAAAGCTGTCCTGAGCTTACGTGTTACTTGTATCCGTTGTTTTAATAATGATAATTGTTAACGCCTGACAGTCATTCACAACGAAAACAGATATGACGGTAGTTGGAAGTATATGATTTTTTAAGGAAAGAAAAATTACTACCTACCATGTAGACTTGTTATTCAAAATTCATTACGAACGACATGAATTGTGAACATTACTGTAATAAAACGAATATTTACATTAAAATCAATTATCTTCGCTACTCATCATCGTTTTATTGAGCGTCAAAGCTCCAGTGTCTTGAGAATAGACATAAGTGGCGACCGTGACAGGACGAAAATCTGAAGGGAATTTGCAGCACTAAAGTCTATCTGGAGCTGGTCAGCACAGCGCCGTAGCCAACAGCCGGTCAGCACCGCGCCGCATCTAGATCTTTGGAAACAGCCGATACGGGTATCGGAAGCACCAGCATTGCCGGACATAGACGTCGTATACAACGTCGCACCGCAGCACAGCAATATCATTGCAGCTAAGTGGCTTCCTTTACTCCTAAACTTCCTGGTACCTAAAGTAACCTATTGCCTACCCATTGTTTTGGTTTCATAACTGTGCAAACCAGTGCAAACTACGTGTAAAATTGGAGAATTATAGATTAACCTTGTCGAGGTTACAATTTCACGTCATACATATTTTTTTGTTATATTTTTACAAGTTAGCTATTATATATTGTCTCTTTGCAATCCATACGAATATTTTTACTGCGTATTACGAAAAATATACGCCTCTATCGCATTATAAAGCGGATTTTTCTAAATTTTTCTTCTCGTTTACCCACAACTGGTTTTTTATTATAATATTTTTATCGTTAGGCCATTTCTTTCATAGAAAACCCCATAAAGGGCTGCCGTGCCTTATAATCTGCATCGTAGTGAATATTTACGCAGAATATTTCAGCTGGGGACCGCATTGCTCGTGCGTTGCTGAGCGTCGTCACCGCTCGCGCCGCTCGACGCTTCTTGCTGAGCATAGCTGCTTCTTCGGCCTCCGGTACAGTAAACACCACCAACGAGGGGCGTGAGCTTATTTTCATATATTTTAAATTTTAACATAAGCCCGTTAATTATTCAAAAACTCTTACCTACATAAATTGAATTTTTGGCTCGTGAGATATCTCTGTGAGATTATTAAGTTACCAAGCAATTAATAAATAAATACTCCTAGTAATAATGACTTCAGGTGACGATACAAAGAGCTTAGCGGATTTGATGGTTAGACGCAGCTCTGTCAAAGGCCAAGTAACGAAGTTTAGAAACTATTTAGAAAAAATATCGTAGTTCGACTGCTATACTGCTACACATTGGGCAGAACTTACACTTAAATTAAGCAAGTTTGAAACTTTATCGTCAAAGTTTGATGACTTAGAAAGTCAAATAGAAACTTTTAATTCTAATTAGACAAAGAGCTTGAAGAACGGGTAAACATAGAAAGAGAATTTATTAGTAATATTGTAACAGCACAAAGTTTATTACAAATACATAGCAGGGATGAGATCGTCCACGATACAAGTAGCCCTCATAATGCAACGCATTGTGTCTTTGAAAATAGTGAACTGGGTTTCAAGCTACCTTTGATTCAAATAGCCAAATTTGATGGATCATACTTTCGCTGGATGGAATTTCGCGACACCTTCCGATCATTAGTTCATGAAAATAGTAGAATTAGTTCAGTCAATAAATTTCACTATTTAATTTCATATCTAGAAGGCGAGGCGGCCCGAACCATTTCAAACCTAGAAGTGTCTTCTGACAATTATCGGGAGGCTTGGAACCTATTACTCGAACGTTACGATAATAAGCGTTTATTAATAAGCTATCACCTCAGTGCATTATTTAATATAAATTCAATCTGTAAAGAGTCCGAAAAATCACTGCGCTTCTTAGCTGATCACGTGAGTAAAAATTTGCGTGCTCTCTCTAATCTAGGGCAGGCCACTGAGCATTGGTACGTCATAATAATCCACCTAGTTGCTTCTAAACTGGACAATCAAATCTTAACAAAATGGGAAGAACACCGTAACGCGCTGTCAACTGATACACCTACACTTAAGAATTTTTACAAATTTCTAAACGATCGTGCAGCCGTGCTCGAGTCGCTGCACCGTGGTAATTCAGACATCGCACCAAAAACCACTCACAAAAAACATTCGCATATGCACCCTAAGTCGCATACATACTTTAGCGGTAGTAACCAGTTATAACCACAATCATCATCACTACCATACGCCTGTCCCTGTTGCAATGCTAATCATAGAATATATGATTGCCCATCATTTAAGGCCAAGAGCAATCACGAACGTATAGCAGAGGTAAGCAAACTAAGATTGTGTCTTAATTGTCTAAGATCTGGTCACCATACTTTTAAATGTCGCCTAGGTCGTTGCCGCGAATGTAACAAGAGACATAACAGCATGTTGCACCTTCCTACTGGAACAGCTGAAAACACAAGCAGTATCAATGGTTTAGCTGAGACGTCGACCAGCTGCAACAGCCAAGGTATCAATCAAGCTCTTCTTTCTACTGCCTTAATTGAGGTAGTCAATCCTACAACTAAAAGATCTGAAACAGTACGCGCCCTACTCGACTGTGGCAGTTAGTCCTCTTTCATAAGCCAAAGACTGAAACAAAAGTTGTCATTAGAGGATTGTCCTATAGATGCCACTACTAAGGTTATCGGTTTTGGCAACAATTATTCAGGCATTATAACTGAATATTGCATAGCTCAATTAAAATCGAAAAATTCATCATTTACTGTCATGTCTAACTTTTATGCAATGGAACAACTAACAGGTTCCATACCCAGTGTATTTATTGACATCAGATCATTTAATATTCCTAGAAATATCGCCTTGGCAGATCCCAAGTTCTATCAACCTGCTTACGTAGACATTCTCATAGGCTCAGACCTATTTTGGGATATTATAGGTTGCGAGCAGTGGTCACTAGGCCCAAATTGTCCTAAACTACACAGCTCAAAACTAGGCTGGCTGATTGGAGCATAAGCCCTTTAAAATTTTACGTTTAAATACTGTGACATACGGTTTTTCCAGCGCAAGCTATTTAAGCACAAGGTGCCTTTGGCAGTTAGGCGAGGAGTGCGACGACCCATGCATTAAAACTATAATACAGCATGACATGTACGTTGATGAAGTCATCACCGCTTGTAATAGTCAAAGCGACTTAAAACGTATAAGGCACTAATTATCGGACGCCTTAAAGCACTTAAGGATGTTTAAATCCAATTCAGCGACCGCTCTCGAATCTTGCTCGGAAAACTCTAACGATACTCTAATCCTCAGTGAATCATCAAACACCCTTGGCTTAGGGTGGAATTCCAAAACAGATCATTTACATTTCTCTTTTGAAATACCACCTGTAAAAGATAATATTACTGAGCGCTATATACTATCAACTTCCTTTAAAAATTTTTGATCCTCTTGGTTTTGTTAGCCCCTGTGTCATTATACCAAAATTGATTATGCAGCAGCTTTGGCTTGACAAGGTCGGTTGGGATGACCCAGTTCAAAAGGATGTCGAAAGGACTTGGCAGAAGTTTTCTAAAGGTCTATTTCACCTAACCCTTATCACAATACCGAGGCAGGTTCTATGTGAAACACCTGTGGTAACCGAGCTGCATACGTTCAGCGACGCTTCCCAAAGAGCCTATGGCGCTTGCATCTTGGTACCGTCCATGTTAAACTTTTGTGCTCAAAGTCAAAGGTGGCCCCAATAAAGGCATGCACTATACCACGTTTGGAGCTGGCAGCTGCATTACTAGCCGCACAACTCTCCGCATCTGTAGTTGAGTCTCTGAGGTTTCCAATAGCACGTAAGGTGTATTGGTGCGACTCTAGTGTCGTCCTTACATGGCTGCATACTAGCTCCAGAAAATTAAAAACTTTCGTGGCGAACAGGGTAGCGGGAATACTCGAATTGACAGATATTTCTTGCTGGCGTTATGTACCTACCCTGGACAACCCCGCTGATCTTATTTCGCGCGGCGTGTATCCTGGAGAGCTTAAAAATTGTGATTTATGGTGGTCAGGACCCAGATTTCTACTCCAAGATGATTTGTCTTGGCCTTCATTAGCTAATAAGTCCCAACAGGAGCTCGAAATTCCTGAAATAAAATCTAACATTGCTGCTAAAATCGATAATCCTTCAATAATTTCATTTGAAAATTATAGTAAACTGCATAGAATTAAACGGGTTTATGCATATGTTTTAAGATTTTTACACAATTTTCGTAACCCTACAAATCTTAGACGTCTTGGAGCGCTAAGTTTAGAAGAATTAAAGTTTTTATGTCGCATGGCGCAACAGGAATCTTTTCCTGTTGAATACAGTCTGTTATCCAAAGGAAAACCCCTTAGTTCGAGGTCTAACATTTTATCGTTGACACCTTTCATGACCACAGATAGATTAAGCCGCTTGGAAGCTTCAGCTATTGCGTTTGATAGCAAACATCCCATCTTACTACATTAATCCCATCATCTCACCAAACTTATCTTTGAAAGGGAACATTTACATAAGTTAAATGCTGGCCCGCAACTTCTCTTGGCTAGTATCAGGCAATACATATGGCCTATCAATGGTCGACACCTGGCTAGGAGGACCGCACACAATTGTGTCAAATGCAGAAGGGTACAAGGCAAATCTTTATTACCCATTATGGGGAATTTGCCCTCTCAGCGCGTTACGGTGGATTTCCCATTTATAAGTGTTGGCATAGACTTTGCTGGACCGTTTTTTATTTTAAACAAAAGGGGTCGTGGATCCAGGATTATAAAATGTTATTTATGCATTTTCGTTTGTATGAGATATAAATGCGTACATTTAGAGGCAGTAGGTGACCTCTCGAAGGACGCTTTTATCCTTACTTTACGCAAATTCATTGCCCGTCGTGGTAAACCTGCCGAGATTTTTTGCGATAACGGCCGTAACTTAATGGCCACCGCCAAAGAAATTGGTGATTTTATAAAACGTAATCACAAGGCCATAACAGAGTTCTCACACGAGGAAGAAATTAAATTTTCATTTTCTCCCGCTTACGCCCCAAACTTTGGTGGGATCTGGGAGGCCGGGGTGAAATCAGCTAAGTTTCACATTAGACGCGTAATGGGTAACACGCATTTAAATAAATTAAAATAAAAAGGCCTTGTTAAATAGCCGTCTACATTACCCTATGTCCTCGTCTCCCAATGATCTCCTTTTTCTCACTCCTGGACACTTCCTAATCGGGCGGCCTCTAACTGCGCTACCTTCGGCAAGCCTAGAAGACTGCAAGTCCACTCAGCTGAAGCGTTATGAACGGCTGGAGCAAATCCGACAGCACTTCTGGAGAAGATGGCAGAAGGAGTATTTGGCTGAACAAAGAACAAAGTGGCGCACCAACGACACTGCATTGAAGGTTGGTGACCTAGTTCTGCTGCGGGAGGTAAACCTACCACCATTATGTTGGCGCTCTGGTCGAATTACGAAACTTTTTCCTGGTCCTGATGGAGTGTCTCGCGTTGCAGACGTTCCATGACCAACGACCCATGGCACCTACCAAAGGTCTTTCACACGGCTTACCCTCTACCAGCGACGGAGCACCTTCAAGAAAGTTAAAGGTCGGAGACCTTTAACGGGGGGGGGGGGGGGTGTTAACGCCTGACAGTCATTCACAACGAAAACAGTTATGACGGTAGTTGGCAATATATGATTTTTAAAGGAAAGAAAAATTACTACCTACCATGTAGACTTGTTATTCAAAATTCATTACGAACGACACGAATTGTGAACATTACTGTAATAAAACGAATATTTACATTAAAATCAATTATCTTCGCTACTCATCATCGTTTTATTGAGCGTCAAAGCTCCAGTGTCTTGAGAATAGACAATAATAATATTTGTGACATCTGACACACAACGCCGTCAAGTTTCAAACTAAGCAGAGCTTTTACTATGAAAACTAGATTGACTGATAGAATACTTTTTTTGTAGATTCATACATATTATACATAGAAAACACTCAAACTCCGAAACAAAT